AATACAAAAAAAAACAACTAACTACATTTCATTATGTTCCTTGCATCATTTTCTTCCTAAAAAATTAATTTTCTTTAGCTTCTTTCAAATAGATAGATCTAGCAAAGAAGTATGCTGTTTTTTTTTATTTGTTTTCAAAATAATATAATGTAGATAAAATAGAAATTGTAAAACCAGTTGTGTAAGCCTTATCTTTATTATTATTATGATTATTATTATTAATAATGCCTGAAGTAGTAAACACATGCTTTGTTTATCCAATTGATCAAAATCTACAAATTGTCATAGCAACCAACAACTTGATAGAGTTGGTTACTAACATGCATTGTAAAATTGTCAAGGAAATGTACTCCATACATATTCATTCATTCTTATAGTTACGCTTATTGGTTGATGCATTAGATATTTATTTAATACAAACTATTTCTTTTCTTGAAATCAACTTAAAAGCAAGGTCATTTATAAATGAATAAATAGAAAACAATCAAGAAAATAAAAATGTAAAAAGAAATAGTAATAAAGGAGATTGTGTGTATAAATAATTGGATTCTTTCCAGTTAGTTGAAAGCACTTGTTACTTTGATAAAGTGTGTATGTATGTATGTATGTATTTTTGTGAAAATTATAAAATTTTACTTTAATGAACTGAATGAAAATAAGCAGAAAAGAAAGTTTTGATCAAGTTTTCTTAAAAAATAAAAATTATTGAATATCAAACAATACATTTTTTTGGTAAGGAAATAAAAGATGGAACATACGGCTTTAACAAGAAATCATCTGATATGTGAAATAATTTAAACACAGTTGTTAAGTCCATCTGTAATAATATTGTTGTAAACTAATACATTCAGCAATCAGAAAACAAACAAAAACAGAGTGGAAATGTAGAATTAGGTGGATGGTGAATATTTGTTCACATTTTGACAGGTTTCCATTATGAATAGGATGTTAGATTTGGTTTTAATAATTAATTAATATGCTAGTGGTTGTTCTGCAATGGAATCTATGTAAATGTTTGGTTATTTGAATTGGAAAACAGTTCAGTTCACTGTCGTGTAATGTAGAGGTTCTATGGTTTAAAATGATCATTAATGTGATAAACATGTTGTAAATTTGTCGCAACAAGTGTCAGTTAGATTATTAGAAAAGGCGATTTATGGAGATTGTATGAATTTCACAGTCAAAAATAATGAATTAATATAAGCTAGACAACTCCTACAAACTTGAAAGGATTGGATTATCGTTTCGCCTTAGTATGAGACTCCGCAGTAGTGCACATCCATAACCTCGGATGCGCGGATCTAACTCAGGACCTTCAGTAGCGTGCGCCAATACCTAACCTTGAAACCACTGGGTTGGTATTCAAAAGCATTAATGTCTAATTTTAATCAATCCAAGATTTTTCGCAACCTTCATCCATTGAGTCACTCAAACCCGACAAAGTTGAACTCCACTAGTCACAGCTTCTCATTAGAACTTCAGGAATAAATCTTCAGACTAGTTACTGGTAAGCTTATGATCGCTATTGGTAAGAGGAATTTATCGAGAGTGTATTATTTTTATCACCAGAATCGAGAACGCTTGACGTTTCTACATTTAGCGTTGCTCAAGAAGCTTCTAGGAAGTCTAGATTACATAAACTGGAAAAAAAATACACTTTAGAGTAAAACTCTTACTCAAATTTCGTGCATTTTCCCTATTGTTCTTAGTTAAAGTGATTAGACAAGCGGTTAACTAATAAACTTATTACGATCGAAGTAAGCATCAATAAAATTTTCATAAAATCTTCAGTATTTCATTTTAACTCATTTTCTTGATGAATTCAATTTATCCAACTTTCACTAAATTTTATAAATGCAGAATAACACTTATTTTATAAATACAAAGAATTAATTCAATTTAGTATACTAACTATAACGTAAATAATCCATGTTGGCATTGAAAATGAATTAAAAACTATCTCAGTTTATATAACTATCACACGTATGCAATAAACATTTTTAGAATTGTAAACAAATCCTCCTATCCATCGATTCATCTTAATGTTTAGTTAAGATAGTCGTAGAATGAATTAGACAATTGTTCATTGATTTCTACCAACTGAGGTACCGTTTTCAAAGCATACAGTACATTAGTCAGTTGTCCTCTTTATTTAAAGAATCGAATGATACCCAGAGTATGTAATGTTATAAATAATACAAATTCGGTTCATATAATTGTTAACAATGAATAACTGCATCATGTCCTCAGGTTGTACATAGTTTTTAAAAAAAAAAATAAAAACGCATAAATAAACCAATGAGAATAATGTATTTTAGTGAAAAATAAGTGTGTTTTTTCTCAATAACGAAAGTAAATCACTCCTCATAAGAGGCAAATTTAATGACGATAGAAACAATTTAAACTGAAGAAAAGCAACTCAAAAGATGACAAAGAAAAATTTATGTTCTAAATTAATTAAGATCAACATGATGAGGACAAAGAAATATTTAACTTGTAACTAACTACATTCTAATAATTACTCAACTGTTCCATTGTTTTAATGTATTGAAGATAATCAAATTTTGAAAGACTAGAGCGAAATGTATTTAGAGGAATTTCTGACCATAATATGGGTTAGTCAAATAGTTAAACAAATGTTTCAGGATAAAAATCCTGATTATTTACTGACGACGACAAATTAAGTAATCACATTTGAACTTTTAAATAATTCTGTAATAATCACATAGTAAAGATAATTGTCCGTAATTTACCTAACCCCTATTAATTTGGTTTATATAGAATGAAAATTAATACAATCAGTAATCGAAAACATGTACAGATTTTTTGAAAATAGAATTATACTAAATTAATTGATAGTATATACCACCAAAAACCTTTAGTTACGTAGAGATTATTAACATAATATTAATGGATAAGTTGGTTTCTTGGAGATTTTTTTTAAAACGTTTGTAAAGGAATTCCATCAAAAAACTGGTATCATTTAAATATCAAACTGAAGTCAGGAAACAGTAAACGGTTCTCTTATATTGGTTTGCAATACCTCAATAGTATGCAAACACACAACCCGAAACAAGGTTGAACTCAGGATTCTGAAGTCTCTTCAGAAGCATGTTACCTGAAAAACCATTATGTTAGTAATAACGTAGTAATTCTTTTATAGTAATGCATAAATGTTGAGCCACATTACATTGAGAATGAACACGTCAACCGGGAATCTTTAAACTTTAACTCAGCTGTTTAAATGTATTGTATCTGCCATGAGATCGGATAGTACTAGATTGGTTTCATTATATGATCAAGAACGAGCACTGACGATAGGGTGCTAATACAAAGAGAAGTGATCTATTCAATAGTTTAATAGTGGTCCTCATGCTAAATCCCTTATAATCATTGATGAAAATATTGCCAATCAGCAGTGAGCTGCCACAGTCCTTTCACAGCGGATTATTTGATGTTTGATTAAAACGATGGGAATTCAACAATCCCTCGATAATAAAAATCTGGTTTCGTTAATTTTTATCGTCATTCTTTGTCGATTTGATGATAGAATGGACAGAGATTACTTTAGTTATTTAGATTATGTATTTACTGTATCCTGAGAAATCTAATTCGTTCAACAAATATGGCTTAATGTACTGAACTTAGAGCTGTACGGTTTGTTTATAGATTGTGATACTATCCTCTTGCTTGTACCGAAGTGAAGTGACCTACACTCCGAGAGTTAAATGTACTAAGTCTTAAGCATGTGTTGACTGATAAATGTGTCACAATGATTCTAATCATACATTTTTTAACATACTAAGTAATATCAGCTTTAGGTTAATTATAACTTTGATCGTTGTAGATAGAAACAAGTGTTGTTTGTTCAATATAACTGGTGTTATTGATAATTAACATTTTTTTTGATAAGAATTAATTTTTCATAAAAAATGTTTATTTAAGAAATTTATATTTCTGCACTCTGATCATCAATAATACTCGCTATTTCTTTGATAAAGTATTTGTTTTTCTCTAATTAAATATATAGAGGCAGACATTCGAAAGAGAATGGAGTAGTGGACTTTGTGCTTGTTTTGACGATCTTCCGACATGTAAGTAGAATAAATTTTCAATAATACTTTGTGTTAACCACCTAATCATTGTTCATCACTCTTAAAAAGATAAGAAAAGATAATTGTAAAGAGCTTTATGATGTTTAAAGAATCTCCAGCCTGTCTCAGTTTATAATAAAATTTGTTTTTATCGAATTCATGAACCGATCATTGTTAGGCCACCATTAGAAACCTGGAAGCAGTCGGCAGTCGTTTCGTCCTAGTATGCGGTGCGCATCCGATATCACGCTAGCAAGAATCGGGACGTACAACTCCTAGGACAGAGTTTAAATGGTTCCAGTTATTTTTCTGGTTAGAGTTTTTTTAGTGAGTAGGTTTTGTTTGGGATGGGGTTGGTAACTTAATGTCCAATTCCCTTACTTTATCTGGGCTTGGGATCGTCAGTAACTCCAGAAGGGCTCCAAGCGGAGTTAAACTTTTTGTCTATACTATAATATAATTGCATTATTTTATGGTAAAGGTGCAACCAGAATCGTGAAGGTTCTTCAACTGATAGTAATGAAACTATTAAAATATAATTATATATGAAATAATCTTTAAGATATGCCTTAATCAAATGTATATTATTCATAAAATTAGTTTTCAGTATACGGTTGTGAAGGTTAGTGAGTTTCTTCATAATCATGAATCAGTCAGTGGTCTAGAGGTTAAACGCTCTTGCGCGCGAGAACTCAGGTCCTGGGTTTGATTCACGCATGCAAATGTCACAAGTGCGCATGGCTGATGAGTCCCATACTAGGACGAAACGGTTGTCCAATGCTTCCAGGTTAACAATAGTGGCCTAACATTGATCGATTCATAGTTTCATTGAAACATAAAATTAAAACAATCAAGAAATCAATTAATTTCACTTTTTGCTTTTATTTTAAAATGTTTACGTTTTTAGGTTGTCTAGTTCTTTTCTGTCATCATTGTTACATGTGTTATTTGTATAATAAAGAAGGTGAATCATGCTGGATTCCAGTGTGTGGTGCAGGCATTTTACCGCTGCGTATCAAACATCGCATTATGCACAAAATAATGGTAAGGTTTTTTATTATATATATATATATATATATATATATATATATATATATATATATTAACTGTTTATCATGAATTTACTTATCATATTATATATCACAAATATTTCAAACAGTGGCGATTTGTAGCTAAGGTGTACACTTCAATTAGTGTTCTGTTCCTTGAGCTGGATGATGTGAATGGGAAGCTTTCGTTATCATTTAGGATATCATATTCAGTAATCAGTGCATTCAGTTTAAAGAATACAGTACCGTACTGAAATTAATTGTCAGTGTTTTTAATTTATTTGGAGAGTGAATTCACGTCCTTAAATGCGCGAACTGGAATTTATGCCTTAGATCTTTCAAACTAACCAACCATGCCTGACCTAATTTCAATGCCCATTTACACGGATTTTAACTTAGTATCCAGTGGTTCCAAATACATATTATCCTCCAACCAGTACATTTTTATTTATCGAATAGTGAACTAATAACAAATTTTCTCTGTTATTCCTTTATAAATATCTACATTATGTTCTGTCTGTTACTCTTTGTATTGTTAACAAAGTAATATAACCTGTCGCATATGATATGTCGACTAATATTCATAAAATGATGTACTTACTGAACACAGAAAATCAAGAAATTCATTGACTAGATAATTATGATGATTACTAAAGTCATTTCCTCTTCTTGAAAGATGAAACTCTCTGTTTGGATTATAAGCAATAGTTGAAGTGGCTACAACTTGGCCTGACTTTTCATGACCAAACTCTCTCTGAAAACTCGATCACCGGAGTATACAACAAAAGCTGTCCTCTCACCTAGTCATTGCTAACTTGTACCACTTATGATATAGACAAGATGTTTGTCTATCTTTCCGTTAAAGGAATAGTATACCGTACAACAATGCGATTATTATTATTGTGTGGATGGAAAAAATTATTTATGAAGTTAAAAGATATTGAATTTCGCAGTATGCTTTTAGTGAAATACTGTTCACGAAACGTGGAATGATCAAAAGAGCTGAGATTAGATGTTAAATATCATACAAATAAGGTCAATCAGCTGACGAAACTTAGATATTCATCAACAGAAGTGTGTTATGTTTGATCAAACATCACAGCAGTGATGGTTAGAGTATAAGCGAGTTAAAAGAAAGCCAGTAGAGAAAACATCAAAAAGTGTAATCAGTTTATGAAACTTTTTATCAATGAACTGAATTATGCCTGTATAAGTAGATTACCTAGCCAGGTTGATCTCAATGACCGTAATCAGTAGTTGAAGCCAATAAGAGCAAGTGCAAGTGCCTTAACTCATCATCTTATACTAGATCTTCTGCACTAACGTTCCTACATAAACATATTTTTCATTTATTTACTAATCATATTCCAAATGTTTTATTTTTCTCACTATGGATGATACTATCACTATTTCAATTAGTTGGCTAATCACTTTATTTATTTCATCTCCTGTTTTTACTGATTCTGTATGAGGATTTGAACCAACACACAGTTATATTAGGCTCTATAACTGACTAGTTGTTATGTTGCTTTAATTTGCCAGTTAACTACTTCAGTTCTGACTTATGAATTATGAGCGTCACCTATTAGTTCAACATTACTGCTGTGGTTTTATATTTTTCTCCACAGATTGTATTTATTTTATTTTATTCATCATACTAATTCCATTCAAATTGATAAATGAATTGTTTGTTTGATGACCTATTCATTAAAACAAAAAAGTACATTTCTTGAAAATTTATTACCTGGTTATTAAATAATACCTCCACACACTTATTAATATAACCATACTATCGGTTTTGAATTCGCTGATCTTTTCTATTCTCAATAGCTTATCAAAATATAATATTATCGTTTGTATTGTTATTACCTATTACTTGTTCAATTATTTCTGTTCATTACACTGCACAATATTTTCCTTATTCAAAAAACCAATGCTTTCTCGAGTTTAATCAATTCTATAAAATTTTTAGATTATTTGAATTTAAAGAAAATATACGAAATAAAATGAATTTAATTTAGTCGTAATGATATAATCTTATGAAAGTCTCTGTTGTGTATCATAATTATCTTTTTTTTAATAATCTTAATGTACTGACAAAACAAAAGTTTTCCGTTATTCTATGATTGCTAAGCGATTTCAGCTACACAACAGCTGTTTATTTTTCTCAGCTTAATAAGATAAAATGAATTGAAAATATCGTAAAATGTGCTCACTAGTGACTAGCTTCGTGAGGAAATTCTGGTAGTTTTAGTGAGAAGACGTGACCAGTGGAGTTCAAACCTGTCGGGTGTAGGCAGTAACTACCAAAGACAAATGGGTGAGGTCGCGCAAAATCCCTAGATCAATTAGAGTTATACATTAACACCGTCGGATGCTAGCCCAGTGGTCCAATGGTTAGGCCTTCGCGCACAATACCGAAGGTCCCGGGTTCGAATTCTGCTAGATGCAGGAGTCGTGGATGAGCACTGCCACTAATGAGTCCCATGCCAGGACGAAACGGCCGTCCAGTATTTCCAGGTTTCTAATGGTGGTCTAACAATGATTGATTGATGATTTCAAATGTGTAAAAAAGCATTGATCTCCATAACTCTAACTGAGAATTTAGAAACGTTTAAAGCACAGTGTTAATATAATGTCAAACTTGTTTGTTCGTATTCATATGCAATTACATTTAAGCAATTCAGTAGGTTGATCAACGAAGTTTCTTTGGAATAATTAAGGTTTTAGTATCTTTTCAAAATACAATGTACATTATGATTATTACTTTTCAATTAAAATAACCATTAACCTAAAATTGTGTACATTATATTTGAATTTCAGGGTACTTTAATGAATGATGTTTGTACTACATGCTGTTGTGGACCATTAGTTGTTTGCCAGTTAAAACGTGATATAGATTATGCAAAGTCAACAAGAATGGAAATTTAAATACATCATGAAAAAAAACAAAACACGTGATGACCAATAAATATGTCTGGTTTTCATGTATACACATGGATAGAAAAATTCTCTGTTCAATTTTATAATTTGTAATGTTCACTTTGTTTTTTTTTTAATTAGAAACAAAATAAAAACAGGCGTAGATATTTGATATTTATACAAATATTTATTTTAGATTGGATTATTTTAAATCATTTTTTTTCCATAAAAAAAACCAAGCTTGTCTACATTCAAGTGTTCTTTTGTATGAACTTTATAGAAATAGAAAAAAAAATGAGATATATCACATTCATAATCAAGGGGAATTTGTTACAGTTCAAATACATGATATTAGTGTTTTTTTTTCACAAATTAAAGTAGTTCTCAAATCAGCAGGTTTTTATTATTGTTCTCCTTCATCATTGAACATGTTTGTTTAATTTACAAAAGAATTTAAACATTGTCATACTATTCTTTAATTTTTCCTTTGTATTCTATTGACTTTGATGCACTGAACTGTTGAAAACATTTTCATGAGAGAAAAAATCTGTTAGAATTCTGATGATTAAGTGAGGTGACATTGAAGCTGATGTATGACATTAATGCTGCAAAGATGTTAGCGACACTACTTATGTTTATTTGTGATAAAATTAACATTGAACTATTCGGCAGGGGACATTTTTTTTATTGTGTGCTCTATTGTATAGATTGGATAAAATTTGAAAGAATAAAACTCTGTGATTCTAATTTAGTTGATGATAAATTTCTATGTCTATTTGCAGCACTAAGTCTACGTTAAGGTAAATTTTCAAACTGATACTAATCAACTATCCGCCTTTTTTCCTCATTTTGCAATAAAAACAGTTGATAAGGAAAAAATCTTTTTAATAACTAATTTTACTATTTTGATGTTGAACAATTACTTAAGAATCTCACTGCTGATCTTCAAACTGAGATGACATAGATGTAAGAGTGCTTAAATCAATAATAAGAGATTTTCTGTGCTCAATAGTTTTGAATTTTCTTAAAAGTATAAACATGACTCCTGACAGTGAACGTTGTTTGTGGAAAATTTAGTTTTTAAATGACCATTGTTGAGCAGGACATTAAATGTACAACTTTTTGAGATATTAAACTTGTGAATGTAACAATGTTCAGTGTAGAATAATGAATAAGATTTGAAAAATGTAGACCACTGAATGGCGATACAATAATAAACTTACTACGAAACCTGAAAGTTATGAATTAAAATTATGGTGAAGTTGTTGACGTAGACTGTATAGATGTTACGTTCTTGTTCATGGATTCGATAGGTTTTTCGATTGATGCCTTTACAATCTTAAAGCATTGTAATGATTATCTTTCAAAATCAATTTTCATAGCAAGATGAATAAGCTTAGTGTAAAAAATATACGAAGCTAAGTCAAATTTTATTTATTTAGAAAAAAACATGATTTCCTCTAAACTATTTTGTTTAAATATGAAATCTAAAATGTAAAGTAGTAATTTTCTCAAGTAATAGCTTTTCTTTTAGACAGTATAACATCACAAGATCTTTACTTAAACAAGTTTATCGTTCAATAGTGATTTAATTTTATTTCTTACATTGTAAAATAGAGTTAGAACAAAGTTATCAGTATCATAGTTGAACAGCTCGTTCATCATTGAAAATAATTATCCTAAAAAGTATAGTAATTGAAGTACAACTTTCAAACCATTCCGAATTTTATGTGAAACACAATGCACGGCTTTAGATACACAACTATGTTACATTCGATTACAACTTCATATAATTTTAGATTTATGATGCATATATGTATTGCCTCAATTTTTTTTATAAGGTAATATTATTTCGAAGTAAACTACTAAACGACATAAAGGAATATTGAAAAAATTTGCACCTTTTCATTACTAGATCTTGCAAAAAGGTTGTTCTAATTTATGAGCATAATTTCACTTTTTATCCCATTAATATGTATACTTGTACCTTTGGGTACTGCTAAAGAAGAAATCAAACAAGTGTTTCGTTGGCTGAAATACAATTACAACTTCAATGGCCATTTTGTACTTTTACCCACGTACACAAGGCGTGTGTGGATGTCTGTGCACATTTATCTGACCACCGTATTACAGTAAAGTTACTTGCTTGCTTTTGTTTTAAGACATTTGTTACATACTTGTACATAACTCGAGTATATATGCATAAACTTTCATTCAGTCAGAACTTATCTTTTTTATCTGTCAGTTAACTTTGACTGCGCATTAAGCTTGTTCCAAACAAACCTTACCTAACAATAATTGTAATGGTGAGTATCTCCGCATTTTCATGAAGTTACTTGAGTTTGATTCACAGTTGAGTACCTATTTTATAGGCTCACTATTCGACTTATTGATTAACGGATAACGAAATATACATTCCTTATAACCTTGTGAAACGACTTAATTCATGTTAATGAATAACGTCAACATTGGATTTCATTGTATGCCGATTATATGCTGCACTAATTATTCTCTGTAAATTGCATGTGCTGAATAATTTGCAACTCGTTCTCTTGATTAGTTGTCACATCAACATACCTGTTACGTGCATTTACAGTTTGTGCCTCACATCATTATTGTGGTCAAGCGTACGTCGTTACATTGAATTATATTGCATATTTTGGAATTAAGAAACGTTTGTCATAATTGTGAAATTATTTTCCGACCAAATGAAAAGGTAATCATTAGCTATTTGCAAGTATGGTTAGAAAATTATTCACCGTTTGTATAGGTTTTCTTGTGAATGAAATCATTGTTACTTTGATTGTAGTATTATATTCATCATTAGTATCACTGTTTTCGTCTGCTAATGACGTTCAAAAATGGCTACAGAAAGATCTCCCAAGATTTACTAAAAACCGAGGAATAGGTAACAACCTCGATTAATGCAATTTTTGAGCTTAAGCTCCCAGCATACAGTGGAATCTGGTTCGTTCACATAAAAGCATCTCTCTTTGCTAAAGGAATACGGTTTCAGGTTGCTTGTTATGCAGACTTTTGGGGACTTTAGATGCCCAGAACTCACTCGGAAAAGGTAATAATTTTGTAATTTATTTCTGAAATTTCGAATTTGTATGTTTTTGCGCATAAGACGCTTAGTTGACCTTCAGCTTGCATTTCGCACTCGGGGAATCCATGACTATCACTGGTTGATGGATTATTTTAGTACGCTATTTCGTGGCTCTCTTAAGGTCGTTGCTATTATTGCTTAGCAACCTCAGTCTTTCTGGGTGCCTGTAGAATACATACTCCACCCCCTTATGAAGACTTCTTGCTTTTGTTAGCGGGACTTGGGACAATTGGATTGGAATAGCCTATCGTGTCACTGCATCATTGATCGTTGTTCCGTTTACCGAGTAGGTGGACTCGAAATAATTTCAAGCATATCACAGACGCAGCAGGGTCACTATCTATCGAAATTCTAGCTGTTGGAAGCTAGGCACCGGACGGAGCTCCGTACCATAGGGGATAAAGGCTGAAATTGAAAGTCAATGTCATCGAAAGATGTTAACACATATGAACCCAATCTTTGTGAATCATCACATTTTACGTACTGACGCGTCACAAACAGCAGCGGTAGCAGTTCTGCAACAATAGGTAGACAACTTTGTCACGATTTTCAAAATTTAATAATATGCAACACAAAAGTTCTTTACATTTTTAACAGTTTTTTTATCTTAAGGTAGCAGCTGCACATATTTCTTAAAGTGTAGTCTTCAATAAAAAAGATAATGAATAACCTATTGTTAATAACATCTATGTACTGGAGTAATGGAAACTTATTGTCAATATTTTGCAAGCAATATAGGAAAACAGTGAACAGGTTAAAAGTCTTTAACGAGAGCGAAGATGTCTGAAAACCGTGTATCCAAATTAGAAGCTTCTGTAACAGCTGAAATAGAACATAAAAATATGAAGTTATACTTTAAGCAGTCAGTAAGTTAAAATGAATCATAAGTGAATGTGATTTTATGTCAAAAAAGTAGGAATGTTTGTTATAGCTTACATTTGAAAGAAATGAAATTACTGGAGCCATAGATTAAATACACTAGGGAGCAATTATTAAGTGATTTTAAATTTCAAGTGCTATGGAGAACTAGTTTTCCAATCTTAATATCGTAGAAATATCACTAAGTGATCTCGTTAGTTTGAGTGAGAATTTACTCAGGCTAGAGACTTGATCATGAATTTTCCTCGTCGTGATAAGTTTGACAGAGAACTTATCATTGCTTAAGAATCCCTAGTTCATAGATTCGTTAAAGAGTTATTAAAATGAAGTGATAGAACCGTTATTCTCATCATATCGATCAAATACCACATGTAGAAATGGTTATCAATCTTAGTATTCCGACTTTACCAATTCACCTGCAATTTAATGAACCACTAATGAATTGCTTTTTGGTGATTTTACGAAAAACTATTACGTCTTTAGATCGCTAATTACTTATAGGTTGAGATTCTGCTCGGTAGCATGAGTTATATTGAGTAGTCAACATTCAGACCGTAAATTAGTTCACTTATATAGCTGGTAGAACAGGTGACCTAAGTACTTATCGATACATCAACCAACGGACAGAAGCCAAGGGCCTTAGGTTTCTTTGGTCTTCTAGCCACTTTTAACTCAGTAGCTAATCTGAAGACGGTGATAAGACGAAGACTAATTCTCCTTTGTATTTTTTGATGTTAATTTATTTTCATCCTTTAAGTCAATTTTATGGTTTATTAAATCCATTTAACTGATTACACTCGCTGTACATTATTTGTATAGCAACAATTAAATGAACTTGTTTCTAAATTATTCCGTACCGATACAAAAAAGTACAGTATATATATATATATATATATATATATATATATATGGCTAAAAAGTAGTACGAGGATCAATAACAACCATATAGAATGATCAATTACACTCAGAGGAAAGAAGTGGGACTCAACTGATCTAACCACAATACTTATTTATACGGAAACACAACTAAGCAGTTGAAAAAAAGTACTGTCAATAACATCATATCCTTTAGATTTGTGAAACAGATTGAATGAAATAAGTTAAGAAATGGCTAATTGATAGTTTTTAGTTTATTAGAATGAATGACAGTTAAATTGGATTGCAGTTCAATAGTTCTGCAAAATACATTGGATGTCGTGTAATACAGTTGCTATAAAGGTCAATAGACAGCTTAGAATAAAAGACAGTAACGGTTAAATTGTAACTTTATACTTTTCTAATAAATTATTTCCTTAATCTTTCACCGGATCATACTACATAGAACCAAATCGATCACATTTGAGTCATAAAAAAGGTCAGAAGGACCGTGGAGGACGAGACAACAAAGAGAGAAGTTGACATCAGGTGAACGTTTGGTAGTGGCCAAAGTGAAATTGAAACTGAGGAAGCACTGGAAAACAGAGCGAACAGCATTACAGAAGTTTACTACGGCTCTTTTTTCTGAATAACAACAAACTCAACCAAATCAAGATAGCCCTCAGCAATAATTTACAGGCCGTTCATGAGCTACTCAATGAAGAGGAAACTACCATCGAGAACAACTGGAAAGGGATCAAAGAAGCTATTAGCTTAGCATGTCAAGAGGTTCTGGCCCATGAGAAGCATCATCACAAGGCATGAATCTCTATTCATACTCTGGATAAGATTCACGAAACTAAGAACAAGAAGGCAGCATTCAATCACACTCAAACAACAGCAAAGAAAACAAGGAAACAAGCAGAAAACACAGAAGCAAACAAGTAAGTGAAGAGTAGCGTCACAGCTGATAAACGTAAATGTGTGCATCAACTAGCAATGATAGCAGAGTAGCTGCAAGAGAAGGAAACAAGAGACAACTAACTATATGATACAATCAGGAAGCTTGTTGGAAAATATAGTAAACCGGTACGACCACTGTACGTAGCCGGATACTTGGAGAACTAACAAACCAATCATCCACAATATGTAGGTGTTGATTAACTGTTGTCTACGCAACATTACTGCAGATCAGTTGGCCAGACAACATCAGCAACAACCTGGTGTGGGAGAGCACAAACCAGATTCCATCTGAGGGAGAAATGAGAAGATATCATTGGAGGTGGGTTGGACACACATTGAGCAAAGCACCCAACTGCGTCACGAGACAAGAACTCACTTCGCATCCTCAAGACCACAAGAATTTGAGGAAGACCAAAGGACGCATTACACCGAGAAATGGTGACAGATATGAGAAGAATCAACAGCCATTGGATAGAAAAAGAAAGGGAAGGCCAGGACAGAGCAGGTTGGAGAATACTGGTCGGCGGCCTACGCTCCATTGGTGGAAACATGCGTAAGGGATTAAGCAATACATACTTAAAAGTATTTGTATAAATATTTATCGCTAAACACTAAAAATTATGTTATAATCATAATGAGACCAAAAAAATAGTATTTTTCTCCAAGAATTACCATCACGAAGATTAGAAAGATGATATGCAACTGAGGAATCTGATGATGCAACCTCCAACAAACATGAAACTTTATCGATCCTCTTCAATAGTTCACCTGGAAAATAATGAAAATCATTGAAAAGGAAAAAACAATTAGAATATAACAGTTTGTTGTTTAACTAAGGTAGAAATGTTCTATGATAGAGGAAAAACAATTCCATGTTGTACAGATTTAATTACTCCACTACTTTTGTTATTAAGTTGATCGAACTGTCAAACAGTTTAATATCCTAGTCTTGAATATTTTCTGTAATTATAAAACTTTATTTGTGAAATAGCCAAGTCTATCACAAAAAATACAATCTACTACTAGTATAGATTGCTTAGATAGCTACATTCTTGTTACAAGTTTTATAAAAGAAATAGATTGCGGCGCTAGCAGTGGAATCCAGGATGTGTGTTTCCACCCATCTTGGACACGTGTGAACATATCATTACTGGAGTCACTGTCTATCTAGCTTAAGAGTCTTGAATAGAATGAAACATCTCCTCTAGGAATTTTACTTCTGTTGATAATTGATTTGACTATTCATATGATCATTTTTTTTAAATAATTAACAGAAGTAAATGTGGAATAAGATAAAACGCTAGTCTTTTAGAAAATTTTCAGTTATACATTTTAATTACAAAATAAAGTAAGTTATATCTTTGTTATTTATTTAACGATTTCACATTGAAGTTTGAATGTAGTTTATATTTCAGTAGTATTGAATCGATTTCAATAGATGATTACTTATTATTTAAATTAAAGAGCACAGAAACAACCAATAGAAATCGATTAATCTTATTTCAGGGATAAAAAACCTCGTTTCTCATTGAAATGTTAGTATTAGCAAAACAACGCATCAGTTTCTATTTACGGTGTGTATTAGTTTAAAAAACATCTGGTAATTGAATTGATGGAAATACATTTGAAAAATGTGTTATTTTACTAACCAGGAATATCCAGTAAAGAATTTTTGATTTGATCACGTAGATTAGAACTGAATATTTCTGACCATCTGCAGTAAACTATCCACATTTTAATAACTGTACAAATATATTCTATGCAAAGAGAAGGTTGATTCACTGAAAATAAAATAAAACATACATATGTATACATGTATATCCTTACTAGTTTTTATATCGGACAAGTAATTGTATTTTTAAATATATATGAGAATATTGAAGGAATTAAAACATTTTATGCGTCAGTGATACAAATTACGTAATTTCGAGGAATCTAACTAGTTAGTTTGCACTTACCTACCTAACATGACTTAGTTCAACAGTAAATTAATTCGTGGTCCGATGTCATGTATTGGCTTAGCTGTTCATCTCTTTTTTTCAATCTACTCCGACCCACTTCCAGCTAGATTGAAAATGAGGCTATTTCATGCTTGTTTATAAAACACTGAACATCAAACAGTACTGCGGTTGTTCATGGACACATTATGTTCAGTAGATAATCAGTATCAGAAAAATGACACTCAATAACATCTAACAAGTCCACAATGATAGGTAATTTTGAAAATAAGTTCAAACGAAATACTAAATCTAAACAAAAGTTCACAATTTCACTTTATTTAAAAAATATTGATGTACAAACAATTTTTATTAAAAAGTATGACTAAGAAACTTATAAGGTGACGTAAAGACTGAAAAAAGACGTGAGTTACGTGAGGCTGAATAAATAGGTAAAAAAATTCGCACTAAACAAAAACAGAGATAAAGTATGTCGTTTTAGTTGACTTTTAAACATGAATAACAGTTTAAAAAACCATTGAGAACCTCAATCAGGAAGATTTGCATTCTATTATCCAAAACAATGGATACGTTTAATGGATGAATTTGAATTAATTTTCTAATCGAGTTATATTTGCCTCAAATTAAATGAAATGTAAGAATTTCACTATTAATATGAGAAACAACTTAAAACATTTCTAAGTAATTTGAATATAGACGGTTTAGTTGGAATTTTAGAACACAATCATAAAAAACTTTTATTTCATTAATTATATATGTGACATTTTTCCCTGATTTGTCTGAGGTACCATTAAAAACCAGGAAGAACTGGATAGTCATTTCATCCAGTAGTAGATGCTCACAAACCCTTTAGAGGTCAGATCGAGGACTTTCAGTTATTGAGGTGGACACTTAACAATTAGAATTATTTTTAATTCCAATGGAGTAATGATGTCACGAGACAATAATTCAGTGCTGTTGATGATAGCTGATTCACTTCAAACATATCTAAACTCTATCAGTTATATCTTTCCACAGGCACTAGACGAACTTACCTCGAAGTCATTGGTGAACTGAATTTTATGGTTTAAGTAGAGCAATTTTGTGCAGGTTGTTTTATTGCACAAATAAATTTTAGCATATTCCATTGGAGCAAACAAAATAAAATATTTATATTAATATTATACAAGAAGAATTTCACTAACCAATGAAAGAATCTACGAAAGGGATCCAATTACCAGCAAAAAATTCGAATAATTCACCAGGACTCAAAAACCACATAAGTAATTTGGTTTCCTGTATATTTTCCTTTGTTTTGAGTAATAGTGTATTCAGCAGACAATTGTTTACAAGTTCCAAGATGTTAGTAACAAGTGCAACGATTGAAGACATATTAGGCCTCTCTGAAGTTATAATATCCGTGCAACAAATTTCCTTCAACCATTTACAAACGATATTTCCACGAAATGGCTTATCAGTCGAATCATACACAAATAGACTAGCAAATAGTTGAGGATTTGATGAAATTCTACACAGTTGAATTAAAATAGCTGAGATATTTGCAACGGATTGAATGAGTTTTAAATTACCCATGAATAAAACTTGATGCGAATCAGTTGACAGACGATGATTCTCAAAGACACTTGTCCTTATTAACAAAAATACAATCACAATATGAAATCAACAATACTTAAAAATGCATGGATGATGGTTATTATTGTAAGGTAGCATAATCTTGGTTTTCGTAACTAACAAATTGATCTTGAATCAAATTGAGACTAGTTATATTCCTTGCTACTCCAAATATTAATCAGCGAATGTTGAAAATCGTAAAGGTATTATTGGCTTATCGCCAGTAGTAGTGACAACTGATGTAATCAGAATAATCAGGTGTTTTGTGCTGAACATAGAAAAGCATAGTACAAGAACGTAAGTCGAACGAAACTAAAAAGGTTAGTAAAAAAATCCATTTTTCAAAAAGTTGTAGTCCTTTATTCTACTGAGCCAAAAATTACTAATCACAAGTCCAGCAAGATTTCATTATCATGTTTAACCAATCTATCTCGATTTTTCAAAAAATATTCCATAAGCTCTGAAAAATCGATAATATATATCAGATGAAAATGAAAAGAAGGTGAACGATGACAAGTTGAGCGGGAGTTTGTAGGTGATAGGAGACGAGAGATGTGACGTAATTACTATTACTCAACAACCATTCAAAAGCAGGATTTGACGGCAAACAACAACCTATTTTGAGTATGACAAGATTTGTGGAGACTGAAGAATTTTCATAGTTTTAGTCACAAACCGACCTTAGCTAGTGTAGGATTGAAAATCTAGAAGCAGTGTAAGGTAGTTTTGTCTTAGTGCGTGATTTATAATACGGAAATTCTAGAATCTCTATAATTAACCGTTAGAAATTATAATGATCGTATGCGCACTAGCCGCTAGCTTCAAGAAGCAATCACTGTGGTACTAGTGAGAGGCCCTGACCAATGGAGTTCAACTGCATCAGGTTTGAAACAGTTATCTACTCCAGGCAATGGAAGATGACCGCAGAATATTGTGGATCGATTAGGCGTCCACGTGAGAGACCGAATAAACTTTATTCAGTTTCCAGACGCAGTTCGTGGACGTTTACTTCTGAGGAATAACCATATCAGGACAAAATAGGCATTCAGTTCCTCTTGATTTTCAATGGTAGTATAGGTAAGATGGGTTGGTGATTTAAACTATGAAGATAACCTATTCGGTGAAAATGCTATCTTCAACTGTATTGAAATAAATTCAAAATCTATGCATGACAGGAAAATATTTGAAACTTACATCAATGTATTAAAAATTGGTAAAACTGGAGTTAAGTACTTATTGCATAGTTCTTCAAAAACAGACATGACTTCACATTCCTTTTCAAATTCCATACAATGTGTCTTAAAGTATACTTCAATCCAACTGAAATATGTTTCAAGTAACACTATACCAAGAGGTTTAATTTCATTAACCGAATTATCCCATAAGAAATGTGTATCAGCACATATTTCACAATCCGGATCCTAAACATTTCGGAAAAAAGATTGGTATTGATTAAGAGAGAGAAAATAAAACATGTTTAGTAGTTATAGTAAAAGGCTTGTTAAATCCAATTCACAGAAAAAAGGTACAAATCACGTTTGAAGAAAACTTAAGCAAAAATAAACGATGAAACTGAATACTTGATGAAATCAAAAAATTACTCTATATTAACGAAATGTTTATGATAAAGAAGACTTGTCACTGTTATGTTACCGTAACTTATAAGAATCCTCTTAAAATTCTAAACAAGAAATGAAAAAAATTGAGTACATCATAAGTTCATATAGAACTATATATGGAAGATAATAATCCTGTATTAAAAACAACGTGTTAGTACAGAGTAACATGATTTTCAGACAAAATCTACAGAATAACACATAAATGAATAAGAAAATATGATTTCTATAGCTTTAGACAAAATACTAGCTAATAAATAATTTGCTAGAATATGAAAATTTCATTAAAGACCGAAGATGATGAAAGATAGTGAATTAATTGAAGTTCGGCATATACATCAGCCGAATGGTCTAAAGATTAAACGTTCGTTTGCAAGGCTGTTGGTTTTTAGTTCAACTCTCAAAGAGGTCATGGCTACGCAATTCTAAAAAGCTCCATATTGAGATAAAACATCTATATTCAGTGCTTCCTGGTTCTTAACGATGATCTGACTTGAGCTGATTCACAATATTTAATAATAATCAGTAATGTTCACAAACTGTTATCCTGTTAATAATGCATGATTTATTGTAAACAATGTCTAACAAAATAAAACAAAACAAGCAATTTTCTTTCCTAAATACATAATCAACGAAATCAATCAATAAAAAAAATACATAATTTTATTGATTGGACAGATTTTTTTATGATACTTTCACAGACGATTCCAAAGTATTATGAGGTTGCGTAATACCGCGAATTGATCAAAGTTAGACATTAACACCGTTAGATACCGGCTCAGTGGTCCAGAGGTTAAGCATTCACGCACAAGACCGAAGGTCCCGGGTTCCGATCCTGCGAGGTGCAGGAGTCGTGGATGCGCACTGCTGATGAGTCCTATACTAGGTTGAAACGGCCGTCCAGTGCTTCCAGGTTTCTAATGGTGGTCTAACATGGATCGATTCATGATTTCAAATGTGTAATTAATTGTCAGTTTAGAATTATTTCATCTATTACATCGTTTTAAAGTCAATAATATTTAAACCACATCATCTTTGCAATAATTTGAACTGCTAGTTTTATACAATTGATTCGTTTCATAAATATATAACGAACACAAGAAGCTTAAAGTAGAGGATAAAATGAATTCATGGGATTTTGTTGTTTTCAATTCAACTACTTTTTTAATTTTAGTATTAATTTCTAATTTGAAGAAAAATTAATTTGTCCATAAAGAATGATTTGTTTGGAATAAGAAGTTTACGATAGTTTACAATGAATATTCATTCTAATTTGATTAAAAAATTGTTACATTTAAAAAAATTCTTATCTTACTTGAATTCTTATGGATGGATGGAATGAACTTAGTAAATTTCGTAATAAGTCACCAGTATCTAAGCATTGCAACCAAATATTTTTCACTGTATCATCAGTAGCATAGGAGATTAAGGAGTAGTCAGAAGAATGTTCACTACATTTGTTAGTAGTATCTAACTTTAAGAAGAGATAAAATAAGAAACAGGTTATATAAAACAGGACAATCAATGGAGTCCATAAAACAATTATTTACGTATGTAAATATAAAGAAAATTTTTATAATTACCAGTCAACATACACAATGGACAGTTCAAATCCAAAAATTTTAGGAAAGAGATTACAAATAGCACCTATTTGTGGTATGAAGTAATCATCCAGTCGATAAGATTTTAAATAAATATGTATCTCTCTAACTGGCCATACTTTAAATCAGCACAGTAAGAGAATAAACAGGGAGAGAAATTTAGATACGTATACAAATTAATATTTATTGAGTTGGAAGTTCAAGATGACGGAATGATGTGAATCTTAAAATTGACAGAATAGAAAAATGAAATTATCTGTGCTGCTGCTACAACTGATGTTGAATTATGTCACTCAATCTAGAGAATTATAGATTACGATTATGAAGAAAGCGTTATTGACAGTTTCACAAACTGGCGCTATGTATTTTCGGAAGGCTGTGAGTTTTCTTCAGTCCACCTTGAAACCTATCAGTATTGTGTTGAGGTTGTCGGTGGCTAGATATACGTAACATGTAATCAAATAACTTCCATCAACCAAGACCCATAGCCGTACTTGCTGATTCATTATATGAGCTGGATATTTTGGTTGTGGAACTTTCATTGTTCTTCTGAACATCACCATCAGCACAAACTTCAGATAGAAGAAGTGAAGTATTCGAATTTCTCCACGTTTGACCTGTAGCTTGTTCTGCTAACCTCGATCTTGATCGGTTGCTGTTGACCTTGATTTTCAGGAAAATCATAGGTGACATAGGATCAAGAAACAGATCAAAAAGGGGATACAATCAAAACAAATGTGCAAACAACGACAGGTTTAAGGCCAACAGCAACCAATCAAGATCGAGGTTAGCAGAACAAGCTACAGGTCAAACGTGGAGAAATTTGAATACTTCACTTCTTCTATCTGAAGTTTGTGCTGATGGTGTTGTTCAGAAGAACAATGAAAGCTCCACAACCAAAACATCCAGCTCAGAGAACCAAACACCACCACCACAATCATCCACCTGAGCTACAAATTTTCTCCACCATCGCAAAGATTCATTATATATGCTCAGTAACTTAAGCATAGCCTTAGACACTATTGACTTGGTAATGCCAAAATATGAGGGCAATATTTCGAATAATTCAGATACGTCTAACCTAAATAGGACTTCTAATTTTTATAGACCATAATTCACAGCCATAAAACAATAAGAGGAATATCGCATCGTATACTTGTCTTTTGACAGGCAAAATTAATGAAATGTAACCAAGACAGATAAGCTAGTCACAGTTAAAAGTATGTTAAAACATTTGATATTTTATTTTTAAGAGTTTATAGTTTCGTGTTGTTATTGTTATGGACTGTAGTTGATCCGTTACTGTTGGTATATATGTATACTGAACGGAGTGCCTTTACTGTTTGTTAATTAGTCACAAGTCCTTAACTCTACAATTTTAAGCATTTCTTTTATATACAGAAATTTCACTTTTGGTCTAGAATCAGTTCTTTACAAGGCGACCCTTACTATTTTTTTATTGGTAATCACAGACTTTAACGCTATTCTGTTCCATATATTTTCAAGATCTGTTATAGACTAAATGTACCAACAAGTCGTCTAATAAAGTTGCGTGTTATTAGGATCAGTCAGTCAGTCAGTTGCAACGTAGAACTTCGTACGTAAGTACATCAGTTCATGTCGCCATACAACATCAGCACAGAGATATAATTGTCAATTCAAATCCAATAGTAGAAGAGGTAGTAAAGGTATTAGAAGTAATCGGAGAGGTTAGAATTAGAAGATATTATTCACGAAGTATGATTCAATGAGATAAGTTTAGAAAGTAAAAACTAGAGGTGTTGAAGAATCCAGAAGATTAGGATTTGAGAGAACACAAAGAATAAATGCACTGGCGCCATTGCGAACGATTTTGAGCCATGTCATTCAAGGTCTCTAGCCATCGATTATTATCATCTCGCGGACCCCAACCAGGTAGTCGACAATTACCGACATGGATAAGTCCACTCGTCAATGACTTCATGGATTTCTGCCATCTTTTGGTCTGGCCGCCCCTAGCTTTCTTCCAACCTATTCCTACACCACAAAACAAAGCTCGACGAGGCAGTCGGTGGTTAGGCATACGCAACACGTGTCCCAACCACCTCAACTGATGAAGTTTCACCACTTCATCGATTGATCTGCCATTCTTACCTAGTACTCGTTTCCTAATAACAGCGTTGCTCACTCGGTTGTCCCACGATATACGAGTAATGCTTCGAAGACACCTATGATCGAAAACCAGTAACCGACGAGTATCTTCTACTCTCATTGGCCATGTTTCACAGCCATAAAGTAAGACGGAGCGAACCACTGCGCAGTACACTCGTCCTTTAGTCAGCAAACGGATATCTCGCCTACGCCATAAGTGACGCAGGTTGACAAAAGCCAATCGAGCCTTCTGTATCCATGCCGAGATTTCGTCAGTCATCAGGCCATCAGTACTGATGAGACTCCCAAGATAAGTGAAGCGGTCTACACGTTCGACCACTTCACTCCCTATCACTAGTTCAGGTGCCGATGAAACCCAATCTTGAAGCAACATTTTGCATTTCGAGGGGGAAAACCGCATCCCGAACATGCTTGCATTGTTCTCAATAAAAAACTATTCTTATATCTATTGCATGCGTAGGACTAATGACTGCTTCCGGCTTATTCAATGAGGAACAAATCATAATTGAATTGCTATGACTTTGGATAATAACATTTTCTTGAACAACGGACCTCATTGTTTCTGACTACTGACTGTGGAAATAATATCTTCAAAATAAACTCTTTTTCAGTAACACAGCATTCGAAAGATACAAATACCAAACGCTGAAACCTGTACATTTGTAAGTAGATAAAAACACCTCGTATGAAAGTTATGTAACTGGGAAAACTCACGTCATTATCATTATCATCATCAGTGTTACTCTTCTGCAACTCTTGTAAGCAATATCGAAATAGAAGTAAACATGCTTCCAATATATTTTCATTAATTACTGAGGGATCCTTGTGAAAAAAAGAAAAGTAAAATATGTCAGAATACAATAAATTCATACGACTCATTGATCGAGTATTGATTAATATAGTCAGTTTTCAGCTACACCTAAGATGTAGAGGTTACTGATATTTAATAGTCGTTTAAACTGGAGTAGATAGAGTAGGACTTGGACCAGAGGACTAGCATTGAGGCTCCAGTGAGGAACCGTGATCAATGGAGTTTAACCGTGTCGGGTGTGAATTAGGTACTCGCCGAAAACAATGGATGATGGTCATCCAATATAGTGGCTTGATTGAAGTTAGACATTAACACTGTTGGATGCCGACTTGGTAATCTGGAGGTTAAAAGTTCGCGTGAGTGACCAAAGGTCCTAGGTTCGATTTTCATGTGCAGGTTCGTGAATGAACACTTCTGAAGAGTCTCGAACTAGGACGAAACGGCCGTCCAGTGCTTCCAAGTTTTCAATAGTGGTCTGACATTGGTTGGTTCATTATTTCAATTAAACAATTAAAAGTTGAATGTTTCAGTCAAAAAAATCTAAAAATAAAAGAAACGTCTAGACACATTTAATTTATCAGACTTGAACTAAAAAAACACAAACAGAACATATTGAACAGTTATTTGAAAGGTTCCTAATAACTATCGTATCTATTAAACAAACTAGTAGCTAACTAGACTTTGTAGTTAAAAAGATAACTCTTTAGCGTTTGAAGTGGTAAGTGGTGTGTGTTCGAGTCTCACAATGAAAATCAACACTAGAATGTAAATACGTCCAGTTGACTAGACGTAGATAGGATGAAATAAATTTTATGGTTCCCTACTAGTTCAAATCCGAAAATATAACAAAATGTTCGACTAAACGCAACACCAAGGCATCCTCGCAGAGCGAATATATACCAACAGAGATTGGTCTAAATTTAATCCTGAATATTAACAACGAAAGAATAAAAACTATTAGAAGTGACTAATAAAGTAATGGAATTTTATCGACGCGACTAACCAACCATAAGCTTCATATAAGCGATAGGAAATAACAAATAAACAAAAATCCTAATCGCAGGTAACCGAAGACAAGAGGTAACTGTATTAACAATTCGTAATTAGAGTTATGCGGAAAATCATCAACTACTGTAGTGAGATCATTAGACTGTAGGGTATTGTAGGTGGGAAACAGATGCATCATATAGTGGAAGTATGTATGAAAATTTAATGTACAAATTTGCATATTTAATTTCAAGCTTCACTACCCGGTTGCCTAAAATGAAGGAAACGGGATCCAAGTCTATGATCTAGTGGACAAACATCAAGTGCTTTAAACGTTTAATGACTACGAAAACTACACCATATGAATTGCACTGAGGTGTGCATTTTCTTAATTTGGGTTTTCATAATTTTTTACAGGGATATTATGCAGTTAAGGAACTCGCATGTTATTTTCATGTTCATAATTTTCATAGAAAACTGATAAATGGGTATGAAACACATACGTAGACCAAAATCTATTTACAAATCAAAAGTTGCTTACACATTTAAAAAATCAACAAATTTAAACAAACAAATGAATAGATGAAGAAGGAATATATCCGGAATTAAGAGAAAACATACTGAGCAAATTAAGAGATCTGTACAATTTTCTGACGATGTTCTAACTGTTGTCTCTTGCACACTGTCAGAATTCAAAATGCACTGAACATTGTTGTCGCCACTGTTATTGTTTCTGGATTTCTGAGTCAGATATAAACGCAGTTCAATGGTAAGCGTCGTAACAACCAGAGTAAATGGTTCACCATGATTCGTTTGATTACAAAACTTTTCCAACCATTTGAATGATTGAAAAACATTTGACAAAGCGACCAAAAATTGAAGAACTATACAGAATTGTTTGTTAATGCTGTAAAACCCTAAAATAACGAAGTATAACATGAAAGTTACTTAACTGTATACTACTCAAAAGCAGTAAACACTTAAAAGTCACTTGATACATACTGTAGAACATGACACATACATTGATTTAAGTTGTCATACTACATTAGCACAGTATGATAAAATTAGTTCAAGACAAATCCCAAAGGGTAGCAAGAGTAGTACCAGTGTTATTATCATTAGTAGTAGTATGAAGATTTGATACAGAAAGAAGGAAAAAACACAAGGAAGCTTCATAGATCAGGTACTAGAGGAATCAGTCAGTCAGTCAGTTGCAACGTAGAACTTCGTACGTATGTACATAAGTTCATGTTGCCATACCACACATTAACATACAGAGATGCAAATGTCAAATCAAATCCCATAGTGATAAAGATAGTAGAGGAATTAATTTTAATAAAGAAGACTAGGGTTCGAAGATATTATTAAAGAAATATAATTCAGTGAGATAAGGTTAGAAAGACAAAGGTAGAGGTGCTGGCTAATCCAGAAGATTAGGATTTGAGAGAGCTCAAAGAGTGGATGCACCTGCGCCATTGCTAACGATTTTGAGCCATGTCGTTCAAGGTCTCTAACCATTGATGACTTTCGTCTCGCGGACCCCAACCAGGTAGTCTGTGGTGTTCGAGTAGAGTGCTTGTATAAGGTTAATGTACTTCTTTGGTACACCTTTCAATGACAGACACTGCCACAGAACCTCACGATCCACTGAGTCGAATGCCGCCTTAAGGTCCAGGAACACGACTATTGTCGGACGTCTAAATGTGTGTCTGTGTTCCAGGACCTGTCGTAGTGTGAAGATGTGGTCTATACAACCACGTCCAGGTCGAAAACCAGCCTGGTTTTCTCGAGTCTGCTCTTCGCGAGCTCTAGTTAGACGTCTAAGTATAATCGAGGCTAACATTTAGAAACTATATTAGTTAAACTTATTCCCCTGTGATTGTCACAAGAGGACTTCTGTCCTTTCTTGTAGATTGGGACAATTAGCGACTGAGACCAGTCAGATGGGATTACGTCCATTTCCCAGATTCTACCTAGGATCTCGGTCAGTTAACCGTTAAAACTGGACCACCATCCTTAAACATCTCAGGGGTAAGCCTATCGGGACCTGCCGCTCTACCTCTCCTTAGATTTCCTTG